CTTACAACATTTAAAATACAATAAAAAGGCAAAATAATTAAAATGCAATTCAAAATATATAGTCTAAAAATTGCCATCGGACCCACCTTGTGAAGGTTCGGCCGAATCGCCCGGCAGCTTAGCTCACGCCTTGCAAAGCTCAGCCCCCCCCAATCTTTCCCAGTGTAAAAGGAAGCTCAGATCTTAAGAGTGGAGCTCTTCATTTTGCAGCCAACCTCTTCCTGAGTTTACTTGTCGGATTCTAGCAATGAATCCTCTCATGAAAAAGTTTAAAGAGAGCGTGGTGGTAACCAAAGCAAAAAAGAGGAGATGCCGAGACGGGAAGCCCGGTCTTGGGGTGCCGGAGGGCACCATGGCAGGTAGAGGCCCTCAATGACGTTAGTCCTGAAATTTAGGAGAGGGAAAGGGTTAATGTTGGAGCACCCGCTCGGGTGGTTTTGTGGAAATAGGGCTGGGGGGGGGGGAATGGGGGGAGGGGCAAAGCATCCTTCATGCCAGCCCTGCTCTTCTTCAGCCAGGGCTCAGCCCTGCATTAACAAGCTAAACGTTGCAGGCAGAAACCCAAACTCGCAGGGCATTGAAAGGAATGCCAGTGAACTTTGGAACTTGGGCTTAGGATCCCAAAGGTGCTCCTGTTCTCATCCTTCCTCCCACCCTCTGCGCCCACGAGGTCTAGAAAACTGCTTTTCTTTCAAAACCAAAAGCAGCGTTTGCAGAGGATGGCAGAGTGTCGGCCTCACTGCTTTTCTTCCCCTTCCCCCCCCTCCCCAGGCCTACGGGATCGGAGGGCTTCGGAAGAGGCAGGACGCGGCTTTACTGGAGGATCGAGACAAGCCCTACGTCTGTGACAGTGAGTCGGCCTTGAGTGGGAAGAGTTGACTTTTGGGCCGCGTCTGGCCTCTAAAATCTAAGGAAGAGGGTGGCAGGATGAGTTCCACTCGATGAAGGGCCCCCGAGGCAGAGAGAGGTTCCAGAAAAGAGTCGTTTTGCCCCAAAGTTTTTGCGAAGCGGGGTGTAAGAAGACGGGAGGGAGGTGCTCTGAATTGAAGTCTTATTTGGGGATCGGACTCAGGGATCCAACCAAATCACATAAATGCAAGAGGAGGTTACGCCTTTTATTGGACCAGCAAAAAATAAAACAAACAGCGAGCTTTAGGCTCGGCCTCTTACGGTCTCTGTAGTAAAGGGTCTGGGATTTTTACACTCTGCCTCTTTGGTAGGCATGGATGAGGGGGCCGAGTTTTGCTTTCAGCAGATATTCTAATAGGATGCCTGATTATTTTTACAGAGTCCCCCCCCCACTCCTCCCTTTGATGGATGCCGTTATGTTTTGAGAGCTGTCGGCAACCCTCCCTCCCGCCCCATCAGCCATCCTCTTTCCCTAGCATCCTCCCACGGGACAAACACTTGTGCCGCAAATGAACCGGTGCTTGTGCACACTCGGAAAAGCCTTTCTGACCCATCGCTCAGGAGAGGAAAAGCCCCTTGGCTGGCGGGTTGGTTGGCCGGCATTCTTCTCCTGCTTCTCCATTTTGTTCTGTCTTATTCTGCTTTTAGAGGGGAGGCGGTGTGTGTGTGTGTGTGTGTGTGTGTGTTGGGGGGCTGGGGGGCAGTCAGTTGATCGCCCTGGATGCCACGCTCCGGGTGCACCTCTGGTTTCCTTTTTCTCCTTCCAGTTTGTGGAAAGCGATACAAGAATCGCCCGGGACTGAGCTATCACTACACGCACACGCACCTGGCCGAGGAAGAAGGCGAGGAAGGCCCCGAACGGCACACTCTGCCCTTCCATCGCAAGAACAACCACAAACGTGAGTTGGCGCTCGCTCGGCAGGTGGTTCTCGGTGCAGAAAGCCCAGCCTCCAGGTTGCGTAGAAAACCGTCGTGCGTTTCTTTGTGAAGGCGTGTCGTGATACGGATCTACCCTAACGGGTTGTTGTGCAGGTATTGCTGCAAGACCAGGTACGTGCAGGAGCGTGAACAGGCAGAAACACTGTGTATATAAATTCCACAAATGCCATGATGCTGATGGTTAGGAGGGTGATGATGATTCCGCTCGGGTTGGGAAGAGAAGTTCGCTTGTGGACGAGGCTCTTGCTTCCTACACAGAAGGTTCCGGAGTCTTCCTCTGGGGCTGCGCTTCCCCGCCTTGGGTACCCAGATGTTTTTGGACTACAACGCCCAGAAACCCCCATCAGCACATCAAAGTAAAGAAGAGTTTCCCAAACCGAAGGCTGGAAACCACCTGCTCTCTGCGAAGGACCGTTCTCTGCCCCGTGTGCTGGTGGGCAAATCGCTGCCCGATCCCCATAGAGGTGGGCAAGATACGGGCCCAAAGTGGCCGGTGGCCCAAAAGACCAGTTTATGTGGCCCTCAAGCTCTCCCGGGCCACCTCTTTTCCTGCAAAAAAGCAGCGCCTGAATCTCTGCTTCCAAAACTGGTGCCATTCTTGCTTTCCTGGGACCACCTTGAATCTTTTCACACCCAATGACTCTTCATTTCTACAATATCGTTACTTTATTTAATTTTTTAAGTGCATTTCCTCCAGTGAAAAGGCAGTGCATGGAGCTCTCCTTCTCATCACTTTATCTTTGACAACAGCCCAGTGAGGCAGGACAGGTTGATAGAAAGAGTGAGGCGGGGGAGGGAGGGAGGGAGGGAGCAGCCCAAGTTCACCCAGTGAGATTGAGAGTCAACTGAGGATTTGAACCCAGATCACCAAGTCGTGGTCTGACCTTGTAACTGCTAACACCTCTCATTTTCAAAATGGGAGGTGAAATTCTGGTCCCTTCTGATCCGTTTTTTTTGGGGGGGGGCATTTCGGGTGGCCTGAGTGACCTGCGGAGATCCACGGGGTGGAAAATCGGCCTCAACGTGTCTCCAGGGTGGCTCTTCCGTGGCCTGGGGGACCCCTGGCTCGGATCCAGGATGGAAGGCAGCCACCGACGAGGGGCTTCCTCATCCGGGACACACGAGCAGCAGCCTTTCAGAAACCAAAAAACCCAACACGAATGAACGCCCTTCGAGAAGACGTTTCTGTGTCTCTCCAGCTTCGTAGCAGCCTTGTTTTTCCGGCTGTATCTTATTTTGTAGAATTCCTGGCCTTCCGTGCACAGACTTAAAGGAACTGTCACATCAAAAGGCAATTACTGTTTTCTCCAGCTCTCTCTCTCCCCCCCCCCCAATTCTCTCCAAAGGAGGTGGTGGCCCTTCTGTTCTCCTTGGCCCTCCACATACCCACCCAGTGCCGAGTGAGGGGCTTCTGTTAGAAGATCCCACTCCCCCCCCATTGGATAGGGATGGTTGCCGTAGCAACTCGGAGGGCAGAGTTGGCAGGTGTAGTACGTCTCATGCCAGGAGGGGGTCCAAGCAGTGTGTCCCCACCCGTGCTGGTGAAGCATTCCTATGGGTTGGGGGTACAATTCTCTCCCCCCCCCACGCTTGCCCACCTGCCCAAAAAGGCACACTTTGAATTCTGGGTTACAAAGAGGGTGCATTAGGAAGAGGAAGGGTCTCTCTCTCTCTCTCTGTATGTTTGTGTGTGTGTGTGTGTGTGTGTGTAATGGAAATCTGAGCTCTGCTCAGAGGACAGTGTGTGTGTGTAATGGAAATCTGAGCTCTTCTCTGCTCAGAGGACATGTTTGTGTGTGTGTTTGTGTGTGAGTATGTGTGTGCACGCGCGCCCATGTACAGCTAGCTCTCCAGGAACTGGCGTGTGTCTCTTGAGCAGCCCCAGAGAGCAGAGCCGGCTGTTGTGCGTCTGAGCCCACCTGCCCTGTGCCTGTGTGGGAAAAGGAAATGAAACCCCCTCCCGCCATGGATGGGCACGGGGAGTGTGATCCTCCTTCCTCCGTCCTTTTTTTTTGGGGGGGAGGGGGAGCCCCAGAATACATATGGGTCGCAATCCAGAAGTCTGCTGGATGAAGTTGTGCCAAGGGGCGATCGGGGGGGGGCGTGTTGCGCCAAATGCCCTGTGCCAGGCCTGGCAGAGAGAGGGAGGAGGGAGGGGGCCTGTGCAAGTTGAATGGAGCTGGATTCCCCCCCCCAGTTTTTGAGAGGGAGGGGGCAAAGCTAGCAAGAGAAAGGTGCTGCGCAGGGTGGGTGGGTGTCTGTGTGCAGACGGATGGGAAGCCAACCTTGCCTGGATCAGACGGCCCCACAAAGCCGGGTGTGCATGGAGGGGGGGGGGAAGCAAGAGAGTCCTCCATCACCCCCTCTCCCAACGAACACATCCCATCCCTTTTCTAGTCAGTTACCATGGCGACCGGCACATGCTGATAGAGTAGCATCCGCACAAAGGAAGGAGATGGGGGGAAGGGACCGAGCAGCGAACCAGAATCCCTGGAGAAATGGAGGGAGGGAGGGAGGGAGGGGGGGTGGGTGTC